AGCGTTGATAATTGTAATAAGAGATAAGCGTGAATCTCCTTCAAAATGCAGTTTTGCGCGAAGACAATCTTGTCATGGTTAGTCGGTCGGTTATCTCGACACAAATTTCCAAAATAGTCATAATTATAATGTCCTCGAGGAGCATGTACATACGATAGAGGAACACAGTAGGTGCGGGAAGCAAACATGGCATGTTCCAATGATGATACCATTCCTAGATAGCAACAGTAGAGGTTTAAATGTACATGTCAGACAATTTACTCAATATTGTATAGAAACTATACAGTGTTAAAGAAAATATGATATTATGGAAGTCATAATTTTTTAATTATAATTATTGCATCTCTATTGATAAAGTAGAATCTCTTTTTCTCTCTTCCTTCTTTCTTTTTTTTTTATTTTAATAATAAAATATTAAAAAAAAAAAATATATATATTTATGTATATTCTTTAACAAAAATGTTTTTGAAAAAATGCTATACAAATAATATTAAATGTATGCAATAAAATTAACTTATATATATATAAAAAATTATACTTTAAAAAATTACGTTTATAATATACTAAAGTTAATAGAAAAAATATACAAGAAAAAATATATAATTAAATTTATATTTAATAATGTTAAGTTTAAAATACGTAGTTTTTTTAAAGCCCAATTATTGCCAGTAATAAATTACAATAGATTAATTCTATTAAGTATCAAACTAGGATTAATTTTCTAGAATTAATTTTCAGTTTTGATTTATTTATATGCAAATGTTAGAGTATTGTCAAAATAAAAAAGTAAAAAATATATTTAAATTAACCTTAAACATTTTATTAAAATAGATTTAATTATACTTTATGTATTGCTGTTATAGCAATACATATTTAATGGTCAGTATGTCTGACAAATGTTTGATTTTACTACTTTCTCTCCTCCTTTATTGTACTAACGCATTTTCTTTACGTACGCTGTGAATCATAGAAATTGCAAATAATATCAATGACATTATTAAAGAAACAGTTGAGCTAATTAAACTTTACAAAAAATAAGATTGGTTTATTACGTAATATTTGTAAAAATATTTATTTTTTAAATCTCGCTTATATTTTTACTTATTTGAATATTAAAAGAAAAATTTATCCAATGAAATAAAATAAATAATGTAAATATGTTTTTAATAATAACAAAATGAGATAAAAGTAACTAACATTTTAATATTTTTGTTTTAAATTTAATAGTCACGCTGATTTAATACTTTAGCTGTGCATTATTTTTGTGTAATTATGTTGTGACATGTTCCGTGGACATCGGAAATGTTCATTGCTCATCAAAATACATGTTTCAACGTAATCTCAAATCGAGTTCTTAGAACGTTACGTATATTCCTGATTATACGGAAGTAATTATAACAAAAACATTAGTAAACCGTCTGGTCGACGCATTCTGTCGCGACCCTAATGTATCTTATCCTTCCGCACATTGACCTACCCCAACTGGGGACTGCACCATTGAGATGTTGCTCAGCTGCAGCCGCGTCCCTCGAAGGGCTGTGCGTTACGTCATCGCTCATGGTCGACCGTAGTTAGCACGCAGCTTCGCCCTATACAGACATCCGCGTCTGATTTATACATCCTACGGATTCAAGGGGATACTATTCGCCAATATGAATGCTAGAATGTTTCTTTCGAGTTTGAAAATTAAAAAAAAAAATGATTTTTCTAAAGTAAAAGTAACCATCAGTTTTGTAATAGTTTTAGCTACACTTTTGCATCTAATATTGTTGACATTAATATAACCGTACATTTCTTTATTACATTTCGTTATTATACATTTATAATAATTTTTTACTTTTGTTCTAAATGAATTAAATAATTTCTGTCTTTTAAACTTTAAAACCTACATAATAATTTATGTACATGTTTTTGGAAAAGAGTCCTTTTTATAATGCAAAATATTATATGTATATTAAATAATTAAGTCACACAGTGTCAAAAAAAAATCTAGTCATATATTATTTATTATTTCAGAATTTTGTATCAAGCAAAATCACATATGCTTTATAAAAGCTTTTTACAAAAAAAAATTCAAAATTTTTTAAATAATTTTATTAAAATATAATTATAATGAAAAAAGAAACTTTTCACGTAAAACAAGCAACTATATTAATTTTAATTATTTTAAGTTTATTATCTTAAGAAATCATCTAGACAGAAAATACATTTCAAAAATAGATAAAATTGTATATGTACAATACATTCCGTTATTCATTTATAGAGAAAGAACACATTTTAAGAAGCAGAAACAGTAAGGAAATTTCTCGGTGTCTAAATGTTCAATGTATAATAATTATGTTAATTATACAGTCAATACTAATTATAAAATAGTTAATAACAACCTTCACTATGTTTTAAATTTAATATAAATAAATTTTATTTTATTTTGTCATTTTCACAGAAATACAGTGGCACTTTATTGCATTGTTCATGTAATGTTGATATCCATTGGTAGAATTTCGAAAGCCACATAACCAATCCTCTTCTTTATTTTTTGTGTGAAGTATCGACAGAAGCAAAAGTGCCGACGTATCGATGTCGAAAAATTGATTTCAAATGGCATTTATGAATGATAGTGTCATACCACGTCGACGACTATTCAATATACAGAACATCTCGAAATACACAGTATATGGTACGGGAATTTATTCTCCATGTAATCTATGTATTGAACTTTTCTTTATCAAAGATTTCATTTGAGTGTTAATAACTGTACATTTTAACATTCAGTTTTTTTTAAATCTGCATATTTTTTAAGTAAAAAAAATATATATAATAAAAGAATAAATGAAAAATTTGAAAAAATAATTTTAAAATTTTCTTTAAATAAGGGATTGCTGCTTGTATAGATTATAATTTTTGTATATACATGCATCGATAAATTTTAAAATATTATTAAAACATTATATTTTTCTCTTATATTTCAATTAGTTATAATCTATTTGTAGTATTGTATCTGTTTTGGAGTATTGCTAGCTGGTTTTAGTTAAGTACATATCGATCTTTCATAAATAAAGTATTCGTTAAATTTTATAATAGTATTAAAATAGATAAAGTATTTTAGAATAAAATTTTTAAATTAATTAATTCTAATATTTAATTCTAAGATACTTTATCTATTACAAATCTCTTTCTCTCTCTCTCTCTCTCTCTCTCTCTCTCTCTCTCTCTCTGTCCCTCTCTCCTTCTTTCCAAGACTAAATATGTGTAATTTTTATTCATATAAAATTTTATGCAATAAAATAAAGTGGAAATGCTTCAAATATTTCATATCAGATCATGTTATATATTTACTTATTGAATTTCTTAATAAATAATCGCAAAAGATGCAAAAATTGAAATTGGAGTAATCTGATTTTGTTCTAAAATTCACGTATATTTGAATAAATGACAGTGACAAAAATCTTCTACGTCACTTTATGAAACTTTATGAAACTAAAATGCCGCTGCTGTTTTCACAAACTATGTCAAGATTGTAGAAAAGAATCTTAGCTTGCATAAATATAAGGAAATATCTTAGGAAGTATATTCAGGATAATAACAATTAGCATACGCTTTTTACCAATTTAAAATTTAGATGTAATCTTGATTGTAAGTTTCTCAGCATATAAATTCTGATATTTTACAGTTCTGAATATCGTGTAATACAAATCTAAACTTGTAAGATGTAAAATCTCAAACCACACACAGCTCCCAATTTTTTTAGCTCTTCAGCATCCGACTATCATCTTTCAATTTCTTTAATTTGTATCAACAATTCATTATTATAACTATCGTTAATAAAATTTATTAGTTTTTACAAAGAGTTACAAGTTATCTACGATGATGTGTGACATTCTGTTTATGTATAATCAAGGCTGTAGCTCGCCGAAACTTACCTACTTGCTGAACGAAAGAGCGTGGAAGCTTGGGACTAAGCTAAGTTTCCCTCTCGCATCAATGGCACGTACACAGAAGGGGTAGGCGTGGCACTCTGCGTTGGATGCTCGCGCGTGCACCGGACGCGAAGGGATAAGACAAGGGTATGAGCAAGAGGGTAGATATGTGCGTATGGGATGCCGTACGAGTATAAAGGGAAACGAAGACAAGGATGAGGGACAGAGTTATTTCGCGAGATGGAACGGAACGAATGATGTGTGCGTACAACGAGGACGACAAAATAATGAAGAAGCAAGACAGAACAAGAGAAAGAAGGAGAAAGGAGAAAAGAGAGAGAGAGAGAGAGAGAGAAGGAGCGGGAGAGGAAAAGAGAGGAGGGTTGAATCTGCACAGGGATGAAATAGCGGATAGAGGGAAGCTGCGAGGAACATTCTTCCTTATTCCGTGAGCGTGAGTGAGAGAAGTAGAGAATGTGCGCCGCGCCGTGAAGAGAGTGGAGTCTCGTCGAGAGTGAGGAAGAGCATAAGAGAGGGAGCGAGAGCCAGATGGAGTAGGATAGAAATGCAGGGCGCGAGACCGCGCGACGCTTTCAGTCACCGCCCGATCCTCGGCGCGCACGGTTTTAGAGCGGGTGTTTCTCTATCGTGGAAATAGATTGATGATTTAAATGGAAGTCCATCGAGGGACAAGAATCGTGTGATCGGTGTATTAAGTGCAAACGCGTCGGACAAAAGTCGAGTGACGCGATCGTGCTGAAATCGAAAAAAATCAGCAATCGACGGCTGAATGCGCGGATATAATTACGATACCGAGACTTCGATGTGAGATTAACTTATAAACGGTGCAATGAGAATCGCAAGAACGCTGCGATTAAATTTCGTTATTATGCACAGGTGAAAACGTGGTCGTCCGGACGCAGAATCGGGACCATTGTAAATGCGAATAGTCTTACAGTAAAAATTTTACGAGAGTTCATAGTCTTTTTTTTACTTTGATTTCAGTCATTTTTAATCGAGACGGTCGATTCGTCGAAAGGCTACATCGATCATGTAGTCGCGAAGCGGCGTTTCAATGGCAAGAAACTAAATCAGAAGTCGCGCGGGTGTGTTCAGAATTAAATGGTGCGACAGAAACGATTTTTTTTCCAGACGATGATTTGTAATTATCTAGAAACCTTTAGTGCATCCACAGATGTGTAATGTGAACACACGAACAAATAACTTCGACTTCGTCCGCGGATTTGTCACGACGAAATGAAGGACTCTGAACATCTCTGGCAGAAGAGTTAGGTGAGTAAGATAAAACAATATTCTCACGTTTTTATATGAGGGAATGAATTTTTTAGGAGGTCAAGAAAAATGATGTAGAATAATTTTAGTAAAACAATATTCAACGAGAATAAGGCTAATGAAAGTTAAACAGTATGATAGTCGGGGTGCAAGACAATGTATTTCAAACATTACTTAACAATTTTTATACGTTTCGACTACAAGCCATTCTCAGCGAACAATTATTCTTGCAAAACAAATTATTTTTCCAAAAATAAATCAGAGATACATTTATAATTTAAAGAAACTCACTCTGAAGTTGTTCTTAATAATCGTCAAGTTGATAGATTCAAGAAACGACCACATAAAGAGAATTAAAAAACGTAGGAATCAAAAAGATGAAAATAATGAGAATTAATTTTTAATGGTCAAAAGAGAAAATCCGAAATGGTCATCCGAAGCCAAGAATGCGAAAGAATAATATCTTAACATAATAATATAAAATTTCGCAGTCGTGTTGAAGAAATTACAATAATATATACTAGTACTATATTTTTATCTAGAAACCTTTAGCACTGTAAATAGTAAACATTTTCAAAAATATAGTACATATATACTCGGACGACTACATTTTTAAGAAAAGTTTGATTGGAATTAGTTAAAGAACTTTATTATGCAAAACATGATTATAAATTTTGAGATCACTATTCTGTAAAATTAAAGTATACAGTTACATCTAATAATTAATTTATGTAATTAAAAATTTGATACATACATTCTGTGTTATTAGAATATAATATATCTCTTGTAAATTTACGCAATATTATGTTTGCACGCGATTAATAATGCAAAATTCATACTACTTTTGTCCCCGGTCTATGTAGTACCATTTAATTAATCCTTTGAACGGTGCATCTGTTCGGCTTTACGTTAATAGCATTATATTGACAGTTTAGATTATTATAGTTACAATTATTACTGTTATAATCAGATATTAATGAAGAGAATTGTAAAATCTGTATTAAATAAAAACAAATTGTTAGCTTCACTAATGTCATAATGAGATAGAGTGTAATATATAATAATTTCAATACTTAGGATGGATTGTTCCACCTTTCGATAAACTTTAACTCACTCTCTTCTCCTCTTACTCTCTTATTTTCTTATTCTTCTACTCTTTTGTTTATCCATTAGAGAAATTATCACGTAATTTATCCAAATTCCCTTATAATATACCCTTATTCATAACAATTGAATTGCAACGTATGTAAGTATGAAGTAGAATAGAATAAAATAGATTAATTATAATTAATTCTTTTGATTACACACACAGCACTGTAAATAGTAAACATTTTCAAAAATATAGTACATCCCTAATTTTTTATTATTTGATTTTTAGCTTGCGAGAGTATTTTAAAAATTATTCTAGTATATAGAATAATAAATTGGAAACACAAATCTAACAATTTTTATATCATTTTGACCAATTTATAACATTTTTGATAGCATCTTATCTATAATTTATTTGTGCCGCACAATTTTATTTCAAACCGAAAAAGTGTTAACACACTGAAACAGTAATACAAATTTTCCAGATTCCTATGAAGTTATCTGTATTTTGAAAAAAGAATTATTATAAATAATATGATTTAAGCTGGATTGTTCCACCTTTTGGTAAACTTCAGCTCACTGTCTTACTCTCTTATTCTCTTATCTCTTTACTTTTTTACTCTTTTATTTATACAGATAGACAAATTAGATAACAGTAGATAAAGTGGATAAATTACCACATAATTTATCCAAAGATAGAACAATCGGCCCATAGAGAAACATAGAGAAATATCGCGACACAATACTGCTCATTGGAAACAAATTATATCCGGTTTTGATTTTTGCACACTATTTGACTGTAGAATAAGTACATGAGTGCGAGAAAGGTGCCTGAAAGTGGTGATCGATCCACCGACTGACCGACCGACCGACTGAAAGAGAAAATGCTATTTCGCTAATGGAAAGTCGGATCCACAAATCGGCGGTACCGCGGCGTTCGCTCGCCTCTTTGTCTTTTGGGTCCCGCATACTCTGGTTTTTCAATTTAAAATGACTTCTAAGGAGAACGGAGGAATAAGGGTGAGGGGTCGTTCGATCGATATCGAGCGGACCAAATGGCACCGGTAAATTGGAATTGTTACCGATAACGACGTTGTCAGAGGCAGCCGTGAGTTCGTGTGTCTTTAGAAATCATTCCGCGTAATTCAAGTATAACTTTTACCAAGTACAGATCCTGTACTAATGAACGTGCGGAGCGATATTAAAATCAGTTTTTTAATTAAATAGCGAAACCATTGCCACGAATCTCAGAAAAAATATCGAAGACTTAAAGGATACGTAATGCACTTTTTAGACAGTTTGAATTATATAATTTTGGTTTATAAACTCTTAAATATAATTCCTGAAATTAACTTATTTTCTGTTGTGTTTCGAAATGATGTGATATTATTTACGACATAATTACATTATAAAACAATTTTTATTAAAATTAACGCGAATTAATTAAAAAAAAATATCAAAATTTTTTATACACAAGTCTACTTCGAAAGTGTACTTCAAATAAAATAGCATATTTTCCATAGTACATGAATTTGCAGTATCACAGTTAATAATGCAAATCTTTTAATAAATTTAATAAATTATATATAA